TCATCAGATATATATATTTGATACCCCTTCAGTTAATGAAAACCACATAGTTAAAGGTTTTTGTGCCACATCAGATGTCATGGGTCCCTTTTCTTCATCCATGTCACCCACAAAAAATTTTTGCCAGCCATACAAAGTTGGCAAAACTACAACCTGAGATAATGATATTGGCCATTCAGGGAATAAGAGGTAAGTGGAAACCAGGAATACTCATGGCAGGGGCAGGGCCTCAAAGGTGAAATATCATGTCAGAAACAACACTGTGATCAATTTAAAGTAAGGATGTTCATAAACAAAATAAAATCCATAAACAAAATATTCCAAAGATATTTGTTTATTGTTTTAAATTTAAATAGAAAAAAAAACACACGTTGGATACATGTTTATATTTTAATGATTCCAGAGTTTAGCTCCAACACATCTTAAAATATAAGTATCTATGAACAAATTTTATATAAATTTAAATCCTTATTATTTTTAAATACTCATTGTCCAGTGGGAAATTGAAAACTGAATTATTCCACAGTGCTATGCTCAGGTATATATTTTGTTTTAAGAAGCAAAGAAAGTTTATTACCATGAGTACTAAGTTTAGCTTTGAGAACCAAGAGAAATTTGCTTAAAGAGACAGCATTAGAATGATCACTTACTAAAGAATTATTTAAAAAATTAAACCAACATTTAATAATATCCCTTTCTTGAAAACAAATCTGCAAAAACAAAATTATAATGACTGTGTAGTCCTCACTATAATGTACCATGGTGATACTCTTACATAGAATAAAATCATCAATGTCAGGGGGTAGGTGTGATTGCTATGAGCTCAAGGAATGTGTACTTTGTAAAAAAAAAAACAACAAAAACAAAGCTGTATTTCTATAAAATCAAAACACCTGTATCCCTTACCAAATTTTAACTGTTTTAAATGCCACACTTTATTATTTTCTATTCTGATTGAGCAAGAATAGTGAAGCTCAAAAGGTAACAAATTTAGCTTTCATAATATGATAAAATAAGCATTGTTATATATTCTCTACTTTTGTAATAAGGATCATTTTCAATTTTCAATTTAACAAACAATTTAAAATTATTCAGAGGGCAGGCAGGTACCCTTTTATTTTTCAGCATGTGCAACACTCCAATGAAAAACCAAACAATGCTTTCTTTTCATTCCTCCTTCAGCCCTCAGCATTTTTAGCGTAAAATTGTTCAGAAAATTTTGTCACTGAGGATAAACCAGTTGAAAATTTAACCTCCTGTTTATATGTCCATTCACTGTCTTGTAGCATATAGCATCTGACTTTTCATGAAATCTGGATTTTGATTTATTTTACAGTGAAACTCCTTTAAAATCATAAAACCTAACCTCAGGAATAATTTGTATGTATCTTCAAGAATGAAAGCTCTGATTTATCGTATATTTGACCTAGGAAACAGTATATATAATCAATAAAATGACAACAAGCATGCTCCACTATATTAACAAACATCCGCAAAGATGAAATGCAGACTATTATTCACAAATACAAAAGACTGAAAAGTATATGTCAAAGGTTAATTAAAATAATATTTATTTTCTATAATTATAGTTTCTTTTCCCCAAAGGGAGGTATTTCCTATTGACTCTGTTACCACTGATTTAATCCAGGTCTAATGCTTGATTCCAATGACAACTGATATACAGAAGGGAAAACCACGTAGCTCTGGTTGTCAATAAAAGATACCAGTAAAAGATACTCTGGTCAACCCCTGGTCTAAATGACATACAAATGATAGATGGTGATTTAAAACAGTGAAATAAAAGCATTGATAATTCAATTATCTGCTATGAAATCCCTCCAAGAATAATATAATGAGAGCTTGGGGAAAACAAAATGAAAAGCGTATCTGTAATTATAAGTAACTGACAACAAACTATGATAAACAGCTTTCAAATCGGGAGCCTTTTGCACCAACAGGAGAAAGGAACCTGGCTGGCACTTATCTTGGAGAGGACACAGATCTCAGTGTCATGGTCCTGAGACATCTCCAAAGACTGTTTGAAGCCATGACATGGAGCATGGGCAGTCAGGAGAAAAACAGAATCAGTCTTTGTAGAATTGCTGTTATATATTCCCAAATGGTAGAATGTGGGGGAGAAAAAGAACTAATAGACTATATCTGCCAGTTATGAAGCAGCCTGCTGGACAACTAGCATTACAGCGGGAAAGCGAGAGAACAGGCGATAATCACTAGAGTACTAACCACACAGAGAAAGTAAAAGTGAGAGAGCTTTGCCTGTGAGCAGCACAGACCGCCTGAATGTCGAAAAGAGAAAAGAGAAAACAGATTTGGGAAAGCGGGCTTACCCTGAAATTTACGTCACCGCTCTGGGCTGATCTGATTCGTTTTCCTACACCATAGTTCACTAAGTAGCTGGCTTCATTCAGTGACTAATAGAAAAAAACAGACTAAAACATAGGCAAAGGAGGCAAAAACACAATACAAAAAACAGATAATGTTTACCAAGGAAAATTTGTTTTTAGCAGAGGAAAATTTATATAAATAGTTTTCATAGTCTCAAATAAATTTTAGACATAATCTCATTAATAGAGAATGAGAAATAAAAAATATATAATTTTCAATAAATTATAAAAACAATGGAAAGAAATGGAAAAATGAAATAGCACATACCAAGAAAGCAACAGAGAAAAATAAAACCATAACGAAGCTGAAAATCACACTCAAGTTTACAAAATAGTATAAACACAACTGAAAACTCACTTCAGTTATGGTTGACAAAAGTTAACAGCAAATTTAAAAATACATACGTGATTACTATAAATAGTTATAGAGACAAAAGGGATTTAATATAATTAGCATTCTGAAAGAAAAAATTATTTAGACACATAATAGGAAAAAACTTGCCTGAAATAAAGATTGGAATCTGGGATAAAAAGACACAGTCCCCAAAATGTTTTGCTTTGATTAAAGAGTATCTAAATGTCAACAGTCTCTTCAGTTTACTCCAGTATTTTTGTCTTAAATTGAGATAAAGGTAAATTTAATTTTTGAATTATTTAGCAACAACTTTCATATGTGGGATACTGGGCTCCAAAATTTATAAAGTTCTGCCATTTATTCAATGGATCAGTCTAGTCTTCTATACAAACACATCCATGCCAAAAAAAAATAAAAGTATCTAGTGTGATATTCCTGAAATAGTAACACGTTTTTTTGGTGGTGGGATTTGAGATTGTTTTTAAATTTCTGCAATGCAATACATATCTTTATTTTTAACAATCATGTATCATTTTTACAAATAACAATGAAGTCACTGAGGTTTAAAAAACAAAAACAAATGGAAAGCAAAGTATTTGAAAGAGAAAAGAAGACTAAGACATCTCAAGTCTTGCACTGCCTCTGGGCTCATGGCCCTCCACTCCAGAGCTCATGCACAACCAGGCACTTTCTCTAAGGCAGAAGCATGGCACGTGCATTTTCACCTTATTATCTGGCAAGATTTTTCAATAAATTGCCATTAATCCAAGATCAAATCCAATCTTTTTTGTAATTTACACAAGACTCTCTCTAACCCAGCCCCAGCAGGCCCTTCCAACATCAACAACTTCCACTTCCCTGCTTTCACTCCACTGCCAGCCCCACCCTCCACTACCCTGAACTAGTTGTAGCAAGAGTGCCCCCTTGAATTCCAAATCTGTATCTTTTTTGAGGCTTCAGGTGGTGGTAAAAATATGCTTTTGTTGTTTGTCTGTTTGTGAGAGTAGGCAGAGGGGCTAGAATTCAAAATTATCCTACAAAATTCAGTAATATCTCTGTGAAGTCCTCCCCGCCATCACTTTTTCCCATCAACGAAGTTATAAAATTGCATGTATCTTTTTTCTATCCTCTATATCAGTGCCATGCAGAGTAAGAGAGCCTAATGCAAAAGAAAATATCATTCATAGTGATCCCATCTTTACTTAAAATTTGGGTATTTGTTTCATCCAGGAATTTTGATTTTTTAGAATATTTTTTAAAAATATGTTTTTATTGATTTTTTTAGAGAGAGAGGAAGGGAGAGGGGGACAGAGAGAGAGAGACATTGATAGGCTGTATTGTTTATCTTGCTTTTTGAGGTTTTTGGTGCCCTCATATTGACAGGAGAGGGGCATGTAATAGAAACAGAATCACAGTTGTTTAATAGCTACTCACTATAAAGAAGAGATTTTTCTGATGGGCCCTGGGAAACTGGAGGATGTGTTGCAAGAAGAACAGGCCCTGGAGATAAGGCAGCTCCAGAGCCCAGATGAGCCTGTCACTCAAAAGAAAATACATTTTAAGNCCCGAGGCCCTGGAAACCCAGAGGATGTGTTGCAAGATGAAGAACAGGCCCTGGAGATAAGGCAGCTCCAGAGCCCAGATGAGCCTGTCACTCAAAAGAAAATACATTTTAAGCGCAGATCAAGAACTGGACCTATCTGAAAGGATACAATGTTCCGAGCTGATTTTTTCCCAGGCCAATCTTTCCAAGGCCAATGATAGAAGGCAGGCCCTGGGAACTCACTAACTTTAGATTTTTTCCCACCAGCTAACCATATATAGGGGCTGACTTGAGATGAAACGTCAGAGCAGTTTTTTCAGGGTTTTACACCTGCCCCTCTCTCAGGTTGCCGGCTATCTGATTAATAAACGCACCACAAAGATTCAAACTTGTCTCTACTTATTTGACTCTGGTAGTGGTGGGCAGAAGGATGCTTTGATCTGATTTCAAATGTACTTTGTGCCCAAGGTGGGTGCTCACTCACACCACCCTAGTCTCAGCTCTGTTCTATACTCCTGTAGCACTGATGACACTCCACAGTTATTTGTCTACACGTCTATCTTTACTACAGACTGTGACCACCTATAAGGAAAGGGACCAGTTTTATTTATCCACATACATCTAAAAATCAGAACAGTGCCCAACATGAAGCAGGAACACATTAAATAAAGGCGAATGAAAACCCAGAAAAGAGAAATAGTCAAAATTCTTCAGTCTTTATAGAATAAAATCTCCCACAGGGAAGACAATGTCTAATCTAGAGATATTACTATTTCTCTTAAGGAAATCTTAATTTGAGGCAAGTCATGAGCTAAAAGTAATTGAGCAATGAAACTAAATCAGCCCCCCTCTCATAAATATATATTTGTGGCACAAAGCATTGAGTGTATCTATTCCAAGAATATGCTTGTATTTAGTTTACATGAGAACCAGAGAATATTAAAATTGAAGGAAATCTTATTTTTAAATTTCACCTTCCTCTTATAAATAAGAAATGAAGCCTAGAGAGTTTAAATGGCTTATCTAAAACCAAAATAGAGTAGAACAGAGTCCAAACTTGAAGTCAGGTCATCCATTTCTCTGCCTAGTACTTTTTCACTAGAGGTTACTTACACATATAGAAGAGGGGACACTGGGAAACAGGGGAGTGGAGGGTAGGGATTTCTTTCTAGGTCAGAGAGAATTACCAATTCATGGATAAAATAAACCACACATTTTTTATGTAATGCTTGAAACACAGTCACTGCTAAGGTAAGGTGATTGAAAAATGACCTTTTAAAGTTCATTCCAGCCCTGTGCTTTTATCTTTGTCACTAAATTCTCTATGATTCATTTCCTTCTGCAAAAGAGGGTGACTCTACTCTCTGCCTACTCCAATTCAAGATTGATGAGGTCCAATTTTAAATACACATTATTCATATACTTTGTATATGCACAAATGCAAGTCATTTTTAACTGTACACTCATCATGTAAATATATTAGTATACCTAGCCATGCCTAGAGGAAATGAGAAGTAATTATGTAGCAGTTATTGTCCAAGTTGGAGTTGAAAGCTAGAATATAGAGATTGGTATTGAATAAAAATAATTCTGAATCTTATATCTAAAAAATAGAGACATACAAAGGTACTGTTCTCAGTCAGAATTATTATTCTTCACAAATTGCTAGGACTTTGGGCTCTCATGTGACTTTAATGAGATTTTCTAATGGTGAAAGCGACTGGTTCCTCACAAGCATTACATTTAATGTAGCTCTGAGTTATTAGAAAGATAGAAATGATGACCACAAATTTAAAAAATTAGCCTTGAATGAATTTGATGGAATTCAGTTAGGGATAAAACAAACTACGCATCATTATTACTACTTTTGTGTGCAAATGAAATAATTCGTTTCTGTACTAATAATTAGACTTTCTGGTCAATTTATTCTTCAAATTAACAATTAAGAATCCTTGGTTAATTTTGCCTTTTCTCTTTATTTTGCCACTTGATTTAGTTAAAATCTTCCTATACAAAAGTAAGAAAAATATTGAGTTCATTTGGATCTCTGGCCAACAAATCCAAAATCATTAATTTTTATCCCTTGACTATCTGTAAAATTTATAGGAGAATTTATTTTTTAAAAAAGGAAGCCAATGAAATACTTCTTAGGAACAAGCTAATAGATAAGCAAGGAGTATGTTTCTCACCACAGAAGTAAGGTCATTTCATTAGAATAATAAACAAACATAGCTTCCAACAACAATTTCAAGCATTGTCCTCAAGGCTAGAAAGCTACTCACATTCATGAAATAATGTTTGTTAAGTTTTTTGTACAAATACTCTTTATTAAATATATACATTTATACAAATTTTACTAGGCCTCATATTACTGGCCTCAATTTGTAAATGAGGGGTTTGGATTGGGTGATTTCTAAAGCATATTTCAGCCTTAAAACTGTTGGTTATTTTAGGAAATACCTAAAGAGATAACCAGTAAGGAATTCTCAGACATGACTCACAATTAATATTTGGCCTTTGCACATGTTACAGTTCTCATACAAAGTCACTCCAAGGCAATGAAATAACTGAAAAACTAATGCCAATTAATATAATTTCTTTCCTAAAATAAGAGGTTTTGTTTGCAAGGTGGCCATTTCTTTCAAAATGTTCCCCCACACATGCAGAACACATTCATTTACAAAACCCAGGTCAGGGACAGAGAAGTATAAAAGAAAAATCCAGAAGCAATGGAACAAAAAAACTGGACCTAGATTTAGCAGCATAATATAGCTGCTGGAAATTCAATTAACTTGTTAAGTCAACCTAATGAAAAAGAAAAGTCAGTACATGAAAATCCTGATAAATTGCATAACAGAGTCAGTGGAATCCTACCCCTTGGCTATGATTTTTTCTGTACTCCATTCCTTTGCTGCTGCTCTTTTAATTCTAAAAACCCACCTTAGTTATGAAACTGTACAATTTTCCCCCCAAATAAACAGGATACTGCCCAGAAATAGAGAACTATGGACACAAAAACCTGGAAGTTTAGCATTTCACTAGCTAATACATTTCACCAGATTTCTGTTGGGGGAAATCATCTAAAAAGGCCTTGTATTGAGTTCCTAATTCTGATGATTCTGGGATTCTGAACAAATTGTATAATGTGATCCTGATCAAATTTCAGACAGGTAATCCATACGGTCTTACAGTGCCCAGATTTCTACTTCCAGGCACACAATGCTTTTTACTTACAGAAAAACCTGTACCACATTTTCATTATATTTTGATGTCAATTGCTGAAGTTGTACTGATGTGTACTTATCTCAAAAGTGGCTCTGTGAACAATGTACCTGCTATCTCTATCAGTGTAGGAGACAAATATTTTGAATATGTTTTCAGACTCTAAATAACTTTTCTCCATGAAAGAATGCAATGGCTTCTGCTAGTTTATGGTTCATTAGCATGCATTGACTGTCCTATTTATGTAATATTGTAGGTAAAGGTGAAGGAGCTTTCCTAGAGAGATAATGTCTAGCATAGTGCCTGGGACACGGTAGGCTCTGAAAAAACATACGTTGAAAGAATACATAACTTAATGAACTACAATCAAAAGAATCAATACAATGAGTTAAACTTTGGCTCAAAGCACAAATTTCCAAGTCAGCTCTTAAGTCCTGTTTGGCCAACATATGACAGGGAACACATTTTCCCTGGTCTCTGTATTTCTTTTTGATGCAGCAGAGGTTTCACTCCATTGGTCAGTGTTTGTTTTGTTCCATTTTCCTTTTAAAAACGTTTCACTTAACAGGAAAAGTTCTTTTCTCGCAGATACTAGGTAAGAGGATCTCCAAAGGTCACCGCATATACTATCCGATAGACAATTCTGATTAAGGGCAGTGCCACCGGGAAATTTAGGGTGGTTGGTTGATATTCATAGTGTATATTAAAAACGTCATAGTCTGTTTTCAAATTCCAATGCATAATAAATATGCACCACAGATTTCTAATAGCCCTATTTCTCTCGCCCCAACTTTCCAAGATGGTCTGTATTCTGTCTAATTTGAATGCTGAATTGATTCTATTTAAATCATTTTTCTGCAATGAAAATTGGCTCACTTTCTTTTCACTGAGGAATTCATCAACTCTCCCAATAACTGGCTTGAATTTTTTTAATGGAAAAATTACACAGGATTTTGATTTTAGTAAAGAACAATTGCTTATCTTTAAAAACAGTTAAAAAGACATTCGGCGTTAGGTTCATCACACTTTAGGAAACGACTACAGCAAAAACAATTACTTGAGGCTTTCTGATTTCTCCATAGTGTCCTTCGATAAATAGACAACCCAATAGACCATGTTAAAGGCGCCGAACGTTACCGGGAAGAGAATGCGGGCGTATTTGTCTATTTTGCTCGTGCCAGATCCAGACGGCGGCGGGGCGGAGGGGGGCGCGGGGGCCGCGGGCTTCCCAGGCGCCCCCGCGGTGTTGCCCGTGGTCTTCACG